CACACACACACACACACACACACACACACACACACACACATATCCAGGGCAGAATCACTGAGGCAGAATCATTTGCTGTGTAAACTTTAGACAGGGGGAACCTCCCTTGACAGCACCAGTCAAAACACAGTTTCATTGCTCCTGTCAACATGTTTACTTTATTTTTATAATTGACGCCACTTAGGATCTTCCTCCCCAAAAAAAGATGTCAACAGAATTCACAAGGTGTCTGTTTATTTTTCTGAGCGTGTACCTGCTCACGAGCGCTCCGCAGAATCAACAATCATCGCGTTAGCATTGCACATTGCGGATTAATATTTGCTCGTTGATTTTTGGTTATGATGAGAGCTATAAAAAAGAAAAAAAACAGGGGCCAACATCCTCCTAATACCCTGAAGAGATTGCCATCACTTCCATCTTAGTGGAGATGGAAATACGTGGGGATGGTGGAGGATGTGGGGAGACGCTTTGGTTCTGCCCCGAGGCTCTTTTCCCCCCACAGAGAGTCCACCTCGCTCGGGGAACGCGCTATGAAAGCGAGTCCAAAAAGGGATGGGAACGCCGGTCGCCTCTTGATGCGGGAAGGGACCATCCAGCTAATAGTCCACATCAACTTCTATCATCAATAATGCGCCAAGAGTGGCCGTGATAGTCCACCGATCAAGCGACAGTGGCTCAGAGATGCGGGGAAGACAAGCCAACCCTGTCCTTTCTCTATTAAAAAGAAAGCCTTTCTCCATGTTACATTATACTTCTTCTCTTGTTATTTCTCTCGCTCTGTGTTCCTCTCAACCTCCCCCCCACCACCACCCCCACCCCTTCCTTACAACATGATGGTCAGTCCATTGCCAGGCAATCTGGTCTGTGATGTTCTTCACACCTCCATCGAGCCAAAAAAGAAGAAAAAAATACAATCTTTGACAAGATATGATGACTTGCCCAGGTGGTGTGTTTCACTGGTCTCTTGGTCTTGCAGAGGTGAGGGCAGCCAACCACGGTATGTGTATGTGTGTGTTTGTGTGTGTGTCTGCCTACAGTATATGATGGTGTGTTTACCCCGGGCCCTGTGCTGTGGTGCTGTGATGCCGAGTGTCACCCTGCTCCGGCCTGAGCCCTGCAGCCAGAGAAACCAGCTGTGAAACTGACAGGTTTGTCTTCTGCACTCACCTACACTCTATTCTTCCCCTGCACACACACACACGCACACACACACACACACACACACACATTCTGACATACACACACACACACATGCAACCACAACACACATAATGAGGCACACACACACACACTTTCATGGCCTGAGGTTTAAGTACACACACACACAAGCCACCCCCCCTCCCCCCCTCCCTACATCCACACATATCCACAGACCATCACACAAGCTGCAGGCAGTCTCTCTCATGCCAGCTACAAACACAGTGCAAAAGGAATATGCTCACAGAGCTCCGATATATATGGCGGCTACTCGTAACCTGAACACATTTTTTACAGTTTGATAAAGAAGATGTTGAATATCCGAGTGAAATGGAGACCATTGTTTCCCATCAACGTTCCTCATCATGTCAGCACGAGATATTCTAATCCTGATGGTTTGATTAACCACAGTTGAACAGTTTGAACGAGTAGATAACGCCATGAAACTGCCCCAGTTGATTACTTACATTTGGTCGATTGTTTTTTTGTATTACAAAGTAGTGAAATAAACACCTGAATGTGTATTTTGGATTTTTTTTCCCCCACTAGTCTGAAAGAAAGGGAAGCAAACAGCCCAAAGTCCCAATATTTCTGCCTATAGCTTCTCATCTTAAGCTGTAAATAAGAAAGTTCAGGTATTAAATGTCTTCCAAAGACATCAGTTAAGATAAATTAGAAGTCGGCTTCTCTTATTTAGGAAAAGGCAATGAAATTATGATCAAAGCTGTTTAAGGTGACATTTGTGAAAATACAGTTGAATGTATATTCATAAAAAGCTGTTTCCTGTTTTAGATATTATATAAAGATACTGAGCGGCGTAAACATGTCTTTTTACAAACATGTTAATAAAAAAAAAAACATTTTTGTCATGATTAAGTGCAGTTGTTGTACATTTGTTTTAAAAGAGAAAAGATTGTTTAGGAATACCTCTTGATGTGATATATAGTGGATTTCTTCTTCATTTTAGTAGCATTATTAAGTCCAATACATTATAAACTGTCGTCTTGTGCACATTTTAGTTTTCAGGTAAATTGAACCCAATAAACCGTTCAATCCTCTCAAACGTTGAGGAGGAGTTGCGTGATGCCCGTGGGACTTTCTCCCATGTGAACGCACGCATCTCGCAGTGCACACATGTAGGTTTTTGCGTGGAGGTATGTGTCGCACACATGCACGCGTGCACTCTCCGCATCATGTAGGTCAATGAGAAGATGCAAACATCGCCACGAGCGCCTGAACCTGAGGTCCATCCAGGAAAAAGCTGATG